CATTAGTTGTTTGTAGCACATGCTTGCTCTGCTTCTGTTGTGTGGAATGGCAGGGGGGCATCATTGCCATTTTCCCAAGGCACCAACAAGTCTTGTGCTGTTCCTGGTGCTAGAACCCCAAGGTTTGCCAACTGGAGTCAGGTGGGGAAAAAAGACAAATGCTGAGGGCAGAGTCAGATGCAAGATGGTGTCTCTGAGAGTCCTGTTATGTAGGTTAAAATATGGACTTCATGGTCAAAGGGGAAGTATCTGACTCCCATCAATCCCAGCCAGCATGGCCAATGGCCTATGATGATGGGAGGATGTAGCATCCTGCTCTCACAGTGGCCAGCCAGTTGCTATGTGAAGTCCACGTGCAGGACCTAAGCACAGTAGCAGTCTACCCCTTTATGATTCCCATCAACTGGTATTCAGAGACATACTGCCTCTGACAGTCATCATGCCTAGTAGCCATTGATAGCTGCAAAATGTTGTGTGGCTTGAAAGGCTACGTGATTGCCTTCATCAGGGCATTTTTTTTTGCTCACCTGTTTACAAAATTCCTCCCAGTTTTTAGTTCCTGCAAACTTGTTTTTCATTGAAATGCACCATTTCACTGATGAATATCCCTTAATTCAATGTGACTTCAGTTTGTATAATTTGTATAATTACTTTAATCTAATTTGTGTTAGTTAGAATGAAATTGACACAAACTTTTGAAGGAACTATGGTTCTAATTAAAAGAGAGACATTTTCCTGCAATCTTTTTTCTTTCTTTTTTTAAAATTGTAATCCAGTAAACTCTTCATTCTTGGCATGTGAATTAAGCAAATAAAATTTGAAAGTATGAGGAGGACTTGATCTTCTGGGTTACACCATTCTAATTTAATAAGCTGATACAAGCTGCATACAGGCGCGAATGGCTCCCTGGTTGATCCTGCTGGCACGAGGAGGGTGGGCAGTCCTCCCTTCTGTACCCAGACATCTGGCACCAGAGGGACGGGGACATTTCCTGATAGACTATTTGGCCCCTTCCCTGCATCAAGCTCAGTGCTCTCATCTAATTCTTCCTCTGCCTCTGAACAGTCCTGCCAAGAAGTCTGCATGTCATGGGTTCCATCTTCCGAGGCCAGGGCAGGGCACAATCCCTTTATCCGCTGCTGTGTTTCAGCTTCAGGCAGTTTTTCCTCAGCAACAACTGCATCTCTATTTATCATATGAGCTATGGAAAAAATAACCACAGCAAATACTCATAAAATGTATTCGGGTCTTCCTTCCTTCCTTCCTTCCTTCCTTCCTTCCTTCCTTCCTTTCTTCTTTCTTTCTTTCTTTCTTTCTTTCTTTCTTTCTTTCTTTCTTTCTTTCTTTCTGCAATCTAATATTTAATTAATCCAAGTGTAGTCTTTCAAATCATGATGTGAATTCCCCCATCCCTTGCCCTAGACTCAAACCTGTGTGTAATCTTTCTTCATAGTGGTGCTTTGTAAGTGTATGAAAATTGAGCATGTTAGCTCTCCGACACAGCGAGAGAACATTGTCTGTGGTCAAAGGCACTTTGGAAAAGGTTGAAGGGAGCGTCTTTGCTAATGCATGATATGGAAGGCTCATATATTGTGTACCTTTTTGCTGCATTGTGGACTGGATGCTCTACCATAGCAGGGGCGGGGGGGGGGGCTCCAACCCGTAAGCCTAATTAGTCCCATGAGGCTTCCCCATGGGAGGCCATTTCATCTAGGGCATTCCCACCTATCCTATGCTGGCCATCACATATGACATCATGTGTGGGGCAGGTAAAGGCTGAAATGGGTTTTGCATGCACTGCTGATTCATCCTCTGACATTGAAAGGTCTGTGCAAGGGGCTGACTCTAACACAGGTACTCAAAAAAGTGGAAATTGAGCTCACATTAAAATTGGCACTTAAAAAAAAAAAGAATTATTTTCTCCCTTGTCTGTACAAGCTTGAAGAACCCTCCACCTCATGTTCCATCAAACCCCTTGTTTCCATCTTACCACCTAAGAGTGAGTAAACAGCCATTTACCAGACTTTATTTCCTGCCACACCCCTTCCTGTTCCACCATTAATTCAGTCTTACTTGGTGGATGGTTGTGGATGAAAGATGAAGAACCACTGATCTAGATAGACAATTGGTCTGGCTTTGCATAAGGCAGCCGCCTCTGTTCCTGTCCCACCTTTCTGTCAAGGCAGCTTACAAAGTCCTTTCCTCATTTTTAACCTCATTCTCAACAACTCTGTGCAGCAAATTAGGCTGAGAGGCAATTACTCACCCACAGTTGCTCAGTGAGATCTGTGTTTGCGTGGAGCTGATTTTACTTGGTTCATTCTGGGTTCCCCACCCCAAATGTAAAAAGTGTCCCTCATTTTTGAGCACTTGTTGCCAACACATTCATGTTGTTTTGATGCTGTACTTCCTAGGGCCATTTTTAATCACCATCATCATTATCTTGGCATCATCATTGTGACATTATCATCATGACCTCCTCCCTGCCCCCTTCCACTTCTCGCAGTGTCCATTCGTCCACACAAATAATTACCTCTTATTGGCTGTAGAAATCCACATTTTTTATGTTTGCTGTTGACATCCAGTACTAGATATTTTAGAAACCCTTTTAAAATATCACTTGGACCATCACAGCCAATCAGATTAAATGGCAGAGTGAGCAAATGATGTTGTGGACTGTAACAGAGGAAGAGGAGGTCATGCAGTAACTGCTCAAAGGGAAAGAAAAAGGTCTAAAGCAGCTTTGGAACTAAATAAATGCCCAGAGAAGGTGATGCTGGCAATCTGCCCATCAGTGTGGTGTGTACTAATTTTGAAGTAACACTAGACCTTGGAGGCCTTATTGGAGAACAACTCAACTTTGGGCCCTTACCTGCTGGCATGGTTTCATTTTCCCCATCTCCTATCCCTTTCTCGGCTGGCCATCCATCAAGACCACAACAATCTCCTGCTTCAGCTGCTTCACAGATAAGAGAGGAGCAAGCAGTCCAGAAGGGATAAACTCTCAAGTGCTTTTGATTTTTGATTCCCTGGAGGGCTCCAAACTGTCACTGCTGGTAGGAAAGATGGCAGACAGTTTTGACAAGGGCCTCCGTGTGTGAGAGAGAATAAAGAGCATTCAGAACTAAGCATCAAGATTATGCTTGAGGTTATAGATCATTCCTGGCTCCAGGAGACTTTCTCTCACACCCACCCTCCCACTTTCTCTCTCTCCTATCTTGGCATGGGTGAATCTGTCCATTTAAGTTTCTTTCAGTTTTTCATCTTCTTCTTTTTCCAGTTCACCACATTTCTGCATCCATTCGTGATTCCCGCCTCCCATTTTTTTAAAAAAATAATCACATCGTTTTAGTATGTACATTTTTGTTGTGTAGTAAACACATTTTTCTAAGTCATTTCTCCAATATAATGCATCATTGTGTATTGTTTTCACTAGCATACACATTTTAATGCACACTTTCCCCCAAAGTATACATTTTTAATGCACTTTTTTAGCTGGAGAACTGCAGTGCAAAATTTAGAGACTGCTGCTCCCCTTCTAGAGGGGAGGGGAATTTTCTACATCCTTCCTCCCCCAAAAGAAGAGGAGAGTGGTATGATGGGTAGGAATGGGCTATGGGCTATCTAGCCCAATGAGGTAAGATGTGGAGACCAGGATATTTAAACTGACTCCACCCCACACTCTTCCTTCTTTTGGCACCTGCCTTTTTGCCCTTTATAGTGTGGGCATTGCTAATATCTGAGTAGGATCTTTTTTGCAGGAACCCCTGATTAGCCTCTCCGAGTCCTATTTTTGCCTATTTCTCACTGTTAGGTGTTGCCAGTGTGATGGGAGGGGCATTTCTTCTCAATGGTATAGCATGAAGAGTGCCAGGGGGCCCGTAGCCCCAGGCATGTGATTTTGAGGGGGTATGAGCCAGGTGCCCCCATGCAAAGATCCCTACCCTACCTGCCAGTGGGTGTCTCTGGGCCCTGGAGGCCACCCTGGCCTTGCTGCCACACCTCTGATCCCTTCATTCAATGGCCACCTGGCTAGTGTTGGGGGGATGCACCTGTCCAGGACCATGTGGGCTAGCCGGGTTCCCCCTTGCATGGGTGGGCAGGTGGCGCAGCACAGCACCCGTCCACCCGGCAGTGGTATTGAGGGATGGGCTGGTGCAGTGGGTTTTGTCACGCCCACTCCCTGGTCCTGCCTGGTGCATACATGTACACATGTTCGTGCGCCCCGGGTGCCAGTAAATGATGCAACACCACAGTTTCTTTTTTTTTTCTTTTTCTTAAAATAATTTTTATTAAAGTTTTGAACAACAAAGAAAGAAAAAAAACATACACAATACATTTAACAACAACACACACAAAAAACAAAACAAAATTCAACAATAAGAAAAACAAAAAGCATAACAATTAAAAACAATATCTCTTTTCCATTTCCATTTTTAAATTACTTATTTTCTGGACTTCCTCATACCTCCCTCTTTTGTATTCCAATCCAAATTGTTTGTCCAGCAGTTTCTTTTCCACTTTTTATATCCCAATCTTAGCTTTAATAAGATATTAAAATATATATCTTCAACTTTTTTAAACCTGATCTTTGGTCTTAATATCATATGACGTTAAAATTTTCCCTCTTAATATCAAATTTCCATTTCTTTAAACATCTTTAATCTTAATCTTTAATCTTAGTCTATCATTAGCTTTAACCTGTACAGCTGGAAACCGCTTATTTTCAGTCCAACATCACTCTAACATTCCTTAATTTTGCAGTGTTTCTGAAGATAGTCTTTAAATTTCTTCCAATCTTCCTCCATCGACTCTTCTCCCTGGTCACAGATTCTACCAGTCATTTCCGCCAATTCCATATAGTCCATAAGTTTCATCTGCCATTCCTCCAGCGTGGGAAGTTCTTGTGTCTTCCAATACTTTGCGATGAGTATTCTTGCTGCTGTTGTTGCATACATACACTGTTTCTTCTGAATACGGCTCAATTTGCATTTTGCCATGCACTGCCTTTGAACCAGTGCATGGCCCATTCATTGCTTTATTGGCTATGGCTACAGTGCAAAAGTAAAGGACTTGCTTATAACTGGTGTTGCTCAGCTGAAACTTGAGTGATTCTTTTAAGGGCAAGTTCCATTTCATCTGATGGAAATAAATAAAATAAAATCTGCATTTTGCCCAGGCAGGTAGGAATATTTAAGAAATGGGCACTGCAACACCCGAGGCATTATTTTGTTTCAGTACCTTCCATGGGCTCTGAGTTGGGAGTGTGGGGTTACTTTTCAGCTTGGTATGCACACCAGGTTCAACACTGACTGGTGGGACTATGGTGTGCATGTCGGGTTCACACACCCAAGCTACACAGAGCAGGGAAAGAGAGTAATTTCCAAACCTTGCTGCATGGCCACAGTGTGCGACCGTAAACATGTTAGGGATTGTATGCCCCACCCCCTTAATGCATAATTCACCTGCCCAGATGAATTTGATTTTGCTAATCTGGGTAATTAAGTTTGTTTGCAGATTCTCTAATTTTGTTATATTTAATAAACATAATATGCTTAGCCATAATGTTGTATCTCAAGTCTTGTTTCGGGTGTGATGGCAAGTGTGAATTTGGAAGGATAGCTGCGTTTTTGCCTTCTTGTTGTTTCAGGAAGTGTGAACTGGGTAGGTTCGCATTAAAATGCAGAAGAAACTGAATTCTCCAGACATCCCTAATCCATGGGTACTTCTTCCCTTAATTCTCCCCTGGATTGGGTAGTTGTGACCAAGACATTTTTAAAGGAAACAGTAGGACATGGATGGGAAACCATAGGTCTGGGGGCAAAATGTGGCTCTCTAAGCCTTTCTGTCTGCTCCATGGCTCTTCTCTGGCCTCACCCTCTCCCAAATCACATCCCACTCCAAACCTGTTTTCTATCCTTCTAGGGTGTTTTTGCATCATTAGAATGTGTTCATGAATAATGTTTCTTGCTTGCCTGCAGGGGCAGGGGAATGGAGAGAGAGGTGTGGAGGAACTAGCCTATTGTAGAGGGGTAAATAATAATAATAATAATAATAATAATAATAATAATAATGTTATTTTAGGCTGCATAGAAGTATAGTGCCTTGATCAAGGGAAGTAATAGCACCACTCAATTCTGCCTTGGTCACACCACACCTGGATTACTGTGTCCAGTTCTGGACACCACAATTTAAGAAAGATACTGACAAGCTGAAACGTGTGCAGAGGAGGGCAACTAGGATGATCAAGGGTCTAGAAGCCAAGCCTTATGAGGAAAGGTTGAAGGAGCTGGGTATGGAAAAGAGGAGGCTGAGAGGAGATATGATAGCCATCTTCAGATATATCCAGGGCTGTCACGTGGAAGATGGGGCAAGCTTGTTTTTTCCTGTTCTGGAGGGTAGGACTCAAACCAGTGGCTTCAAGTTACAAGAAAAGAGATTCTGACTAAACATCAGGAAAAGCTTTCTGATGGTAAGAGCTGTTCAACAGTGGAAGAGTCTCCTTTGAGGCTGTGGACTCTGCCTCCTTGGGGTTTTTTAAGCAGAGGTTGGATGGTCATCTGTCATGGATGCTTTAGACGAGATTCCTGTATTGCAGGGGGTTGGACTAGATGTTTCTTGGGATTCCTTCCAACTCTACATCTCTATGATTCTATGTTTCTGTGAATAATTGCTCCACTCACTTTTGCTTTTGGCCCCTAGAAGGCTGCCCAAATGGCAATGTGGCCCTCAGGTTGAAAATGCTTCCCTATCCCTGCTGCAGAGTCTCAAAAAGAAGGGATCACTGAGAATACCTACTGTGAGTTTTGGAAGGCGTGGCAAAGAATCAAGTGATTCGAATTCCTTATGTGAAGTTCTTTTGTTTGCTCTTCTGGCTCAAGGCTCTAAAGGCAGGCAGTTATGATGGTGGCTTTCAGCAAGGCACAGATATAGAGACACTTCATAGCCTTCCTCTAACATCAGGATTTTCTGTAATATCCTTTTTGTTCAAAGAAACCCTTGACGTTTTCTGTGCAGAAAGTATCATGAAGCAAAGGCCACACAGAGGATGCATAAAAAAGAACAACTTTAATGCACGCTGCCCTTGGAGGAAAAAATGTGCAGCAGACTGACGTTTGCAGTAGAGAACTAAACGTGAAAGCACTAATGCCCAAGAGATGGCTCAGGCACATCCTGGTATGGCAGGCCACAATGAGAAGTGCCAAGCTAGTCCTTGCTCCTTGGTTGTTCTGGACAACAACTCTCATGAGCCCCAGCCAGCTTAGTGAAGGTTTCACTGCACTGTGCATGATAAGTGAGGTGGGGTGTATCCTGCGGTATAAGGTAAAGGTCAAGGACCCCTGGGCGGTTAAGTCCAACCAAGGGCAACTAAGCGTGTGGTGCTAATCCTGCTTTTCAGGCCAAGGAAGCCAGCATTTGTCCACAGACAGCTTTCCGGGTCATGTGGCCAGCATGACTAAACCACTAAACCAGAGCACACGGAAATGCTGTTTACCTTCCCATCGCAGCAGTAAGTATTTATTTACTTGCACTGGTATGCTTTCAAACTGCTAGCTTGACAGAAGCTGGAACAGAATAACAGGAGCTCTCCCCAACAGACGGATTCGAACTGCCAACCTTCCGAACAGCAAGCCCAAGAGGTTCAATGGTTTAGACCACAGCGCCACCTGTGTGACCTCAGTTCTGAGGTGTAGAGAAAGATGTGAGAGGAACATTCTGTGAGAAGGCCAAACTTTGTCCAATATTCTGTCTACTCTCAAAAGCAATTTTAAAGTCAAAGGTGGCACCTTCATGTCCCAGACACTGGCGGAGGAACGGGAGTGCGGAGGAGGTGGACCACCATCGGCACCACTATTCCAGTGGGGTACCATCGCAGTGGCCCCCCCGGACACGCACCGCACCCTGCCCACCCACGCGCCGGGCACCATGCCCCCACAGGTGGCATGTCATGCCCCCAGAACGTGCACCACGCCCTCGCAGACAGCGTACCATGCCCCTGGGATGCGTGGCATGGCCTTGGGGATGCCAGCCATGCCCCCACCTGCTCTCCGCCCCCAGTAGCAGAGCACGCAGCTTCGCCACTGGTCCCAGATCCAGGTGCAGTCACAGACAACTGGACGTGTCTAACAGCTAGTGCTTCTGGATGCTTTTGAAATCAAATTTATTCACTGGATGTGGGGACGTGCATCTCAGATCTGCATTCACAACAGACATGGTTGGTTACCATTTTCAGCAGGGATGAAATTTGCTGAAAATCTCAATGTTGAGCATATTTGCCCAGTTTTTAAATTTTATCAGATTATTTGATCTCAACAAGAAGTGAGGCTTTTTATTACAGGTTCTGCTAAATATACAAACAACTATTGTACAGTATATGCATTATTATACACTATTTTTTGTGTATGCATTATATACATATAGACATAGATATATGTTTCTGTGTGATAAATATATAAACTCTAGGTTTCCTAAGGTAACCAACATACCACAATGCATATACAGTCATACCTTGGGTTACAGACGCTTTGGGTTACAGACTCCGCTAACCCAGAAATATTACCTCGGGTTAAGAACTTTGCTTCAGGATGAGAACAGAAATCATGCAGCAGCGGTGCAGCAGCAGCAGGAGGCCCCATTAGCTAAAGTGGTGCTTCAGGTTAAGAACAGTTTCAGGTTAAGAACGGACCTCCAGAACGAATTAAGTTCTTAACCCGAGGTACCACTGTAACTGTATAAACAGGTGTTAATATTTATAAAATGAAGTTGTAGAAATATACCACCACTTGGGACTTGAATTTGAAATGCATATGATGCATATGAATTCATATATATATATATATATATATATATATCTCACAAGCAGGTGGAGCAAGTGGTGATCCAGTAGGGACAAAGCTTGATCCATTAAAAACATCAAATTCCTTGCAAAAAAAAAAAAAAAAAGATCAGTTTAAAACAGATTCCTTTTCCACCTCTATTTACGTACACATATTTATATTGTTGTATCTTCCAGAGTTTGTCATCATTGCAGTTGTGTAAAGGGAGCAGCATTGAAGAGCCCTAATGTGATAAGAGATAGCCAAGGATCTGGGCATATAAAAGGGAAGTGACAGCAGGAAAGGATGAAGTTTGGTTGGTTCAAAGGCTATATGGAATGCTCCTCTTGATTCTTTTTTCCCAAGCAAAATGGGAGTGAAGAGGAGTAGACAGCAACAATATTTTTTTTATTTTTTAAATAGCGAATAAGAGCTTCCCATTTGTTTCTAGAATTTGTGCTCATCATTAGTGCCCCAAATAGGCTCTGAAAGAAACTTGCAAAGAAACCATAAGCAAACCAATAAAACCACAATAGAAATTAACAGCATCAATTAAAATAATAAAACAGCAAGCTACATCCATAACATACTCAAAATGCAGAAGGAAATGGTGGGGGGGCCCACTTATGCAGAACCAAAAATGAAGACCAAATGATATACATATTTGCATAAAAATTGCTTGTGTCAATTTATATATTCACATTTAGAAATACTTGTGGTGCTTTAAATAGAGCTACAGATACATTTCACCACAGCGGAAATGAGGCTGCAGACAGATGCCCCATGTGCCTCTTCAGTCTGCTATCCTGGTGATAAGTGTTGGTGGGTAACCAAAGCCCTTTCCGCTCCCTCTGTCTATTGGTCTTTACCATAAACCAGATCTAAACAGGAGCCTTTTGAACAGAAGGCTCCTTCAAACAGAGCACTGTGCTTTGTAAAGAAGGCCACATGGATGGCCGCCCTGAAATCGAGCCTCCAATTACCCTAAAAAGCTTTTCTGATCAAGAAAGTCTGTGCAATTTTCCAGGTTTCCTACAGGCAACAAGCTGGAGGCAATAAGATTTTGAAATGTGCACATACAACATGAGATATTACTTGACATGGCTGCTCTTCTTCTAGGAAATAAGCTCCTTTGCAAAGAAAGAAGAGTCTGAAGCAGTGACTGGGAAACTTTTGAATCTCCAAATGTTGTTGGATTCCAACACCAATCAGACTCAGGAAGCATGTTGATGGTCAGGGATGATGGGAGCTGTAGTCCACCAACATCTGCAGGGCCACAGGTCCATCAGCCCTGGCCTGCAGCCTTGTTCACTTCAGCATTAACCTTTCAAGCCTGCAGACTACCTCCATATTCCCCACCCCACAATAGTAGGCCTTGCTTTGATGCCCAGAGGAAAGAGGAAAGATCCCGGCAACTGGGGAGCTAGGGCCAAGGCATTTTGTAACCTTTAACAAAGGAGAATGACGGAACACTGAGGGTGATATTCAGTGGCTGGGGAAGCCCAGCCAGATGGGTGGGGTATAAATAATAAATTATTATTATTATTATTATTATTATTCAGCTAAGCTTTACTCGGCCTCGGTCCTGTATACCTGAAGGAGCGTCTTCACCCCCATTGTTCTGCCCAGACACTGAGGTCCAGTGCCGAGGGTCTTCTGGCAGTTCTCTTGCTGTGAGAAGCCAAATTACAGGGAATCGGGCAGAGGGCCTTCTCAGTAGTGGCGCCTGCCCTGTGAAATGCCCTCCCACCATAGCTGTCAACGTTTCCCTTTTTTAAAGGGAAATTCCCTTATTCCGAATAGGATTCCTTGCAAGAAAAGGGAAAAGTTGACAGCTATGCCTCCCACCAGATGTCAAAGAGGAAAACAACTACCAGACTTTTAGAAGACATCTGAAGGCAGCTCTGTTTAGGGAAGCCTTTAATGTTTAATAGATGATTGTATTTTAATATTCTGTTGGAAGCCGCCCAGAGTGGCTGGGGAAACCCAGCCAGATGAGCAGGGTATAAATAATAAATTATTATTATTATTATTATTATTATTATTATTATTATTATTACTCAGAGCAGTTCCAATGAAAGTTATGATTAAGGCCTCATCTGCACCATACATTTAAAGCAGTATCATAGCACTTTAAACAGTTATGGCTTCCCCAAAAGGATATTGGGCGCTGCAGTGTGTTAAGGGTGCTGAGAGTTGTTAGGAATCCCATATTCCACTCACAGAGCCAAAATTCCCATAGCTCTCTTCCAGAGCAATTGATTGTGTGATTGCTGGCAACTCTGTTGCATGATAGATTGCGCAAACTGTTGCACAATGAGTTTTCTACTAGTGCAACTGGTTACATTGGATTCCTCTGTTGAGCAATATTTAAAAATTCACCTGTCTTCTAGTGAAAGAGCCCTTGTGCGAGTGGGCACAGAACACTGGATAACACAGCCCATGCTCATCCATTAGGACGGGAATGGCCTACCTCTCTTTTGGATTTTGAATGTTGTTTGTCATTGAAGGAGAACCCATTGTCTTCCAGAAGTTGTTGTATCCCAGCTCCCATCAACCCAGACAATATAGTCAAAGGTGAAGGATGATGGGACAAAGATCTGGTGAGCAATATATTCCCCACCTTTGTTTTATGCCAACATGGTTGTTATGCAGCTGATCACTCCTAGCTCTCAGACCACAGTTTAGAAAAGACAGTGATCACAAAGACAACAGAAGCTGCCCATCACTGCACTAAGTGAATTACATTCAGGGTTCTCATGGCATGCTTTGTGCATATCATGTCCCCCCTCTCTGCCGTTATTATTATTATTATTATTATTATTATTATTATACCACCCACAGGTCTCAGTGAGGTTCACAGGATAAAATCAGAATATAAAACCACAAAGTACATAATCAAAATAAAAACAACAATCCAATAACCTCCACAGCACATTTTAATAGAGCATAGGATGTCAATCAAATCAACCAACTTACCTTTGTTTGTTTAGACAGGCCTTTGGCCACTAACAGTGCTGTTTTAATAGGGTAACTTATTTAGTCGTTCTTTAATATTTATATTTATCGGTTTGTTTTTAAAAAGTTGCATCTGTTTTTATTCATAGACTCATACAATTGCAAAGTTGGAAGGGACCACATGGGTCATCTAGTCCAACCCCCTGCAATGCAGAATATTAATTTTTTTTGTCCAAGTGTTGCTCGAACCCCAAACCCTGAGATTAAGCATCTCATGCTCTACCGACTGAGCTATCCCAGAGCTGCAACAATGTTGTGAACTTCCTTGGGTTCCATTGTGGGTGAAAGGCAGAATATTGGACTTTGTGGGAGAACATCACAAATTCTGTCCTTGATATAAAGTTCCTTTCGGAGAGGAAAAAAAAAATACTACATACAATAGCAATTGATTATTATTTGTTTAAAAAATGTGTGCACACAGCTTTGATTACAGGGTTATTTATGGAGACTGCTGGAGGAGATAGCCGTTATTCATGGACACCTATAAATTAGAACTTACTATTAGCATATGATTATTATCTAGTTCACTTGAGCACAAAACACTTTGCAATATTTTTCCTGCCACAATTTCAGGTGAAAGCTACTTAATAAACTTCAGTGCTTAATGTCGGCTGTTCTCTTACAGCAGGGGCTTGCTGCCTGGCCAAGTATTGCTACAGAGGGGAGACTGCTGGAACCAGCAAGGGGCAAGTATATCCCCCTGCCTTCCCTCCTTCCCTGGCCTGGGACCCTTATAAAGCAAACTTGGTGCCTGGTTGGTATTGCTACAGGGGAGAGGTTGCTGGAATCATTGTCAGCAGGCTGCAGAATGGTGGATGAGAAACTAATGGGGTTTGGGAAGGAATAGTGGAGTTTGCAATCAATACACCGTGTCTCTGGGAAGCAACAATGACTTGTGTACAGTCATACCTCAGGTTACAGACGCTACATGTTGTGCATTTTCGGGTTGCGCACCGTGCCGAACCCAGAAGTACCGGAATGGGTTACTTCTGGGTTTTGGCACTCATGCATGTGCAGAAGCGCTAAATCGTGCTTTGCGCATGCGCAGACATGGCACTGTGGGTTGCAAACGCTGCAGGTTGGGAACATGCCTCCCACACGGATCATGTTCACAACCCGAGCGTCCACTGTATAAGAAAGAAACCGACTCCAATCTACTCAGATCACTTGTGGTTGCTGAACTGTGAGGGTACATGGAGCTTGAAGAAGGACTGGCAAGCTTTACTTCCCCAAGTGACTGATGGGGAGGTAATTGAGAGTGGAGACCCAAGTGAAAGTCAGGAGTTAAGGCTATGTAAGTTAATTGTGTTGAATTTCTGTGGAACCTTATGGCATGGAACTGAAGCAAGCTTTAGTAAAAGATCAGTGTCAGTGTGCATGCATTTTATGCAGAAGGTCCGAGGTTCAATCCATGGGATCTTCAGTTAAAACCATCAGGTAGCAGGTGATGGGTACAACATTCTGTCTGTGGTCCTGCAGAGCTGCTACCAGTCGGAGTGGGCAATCCTGGACTAGAGGTCTAGTTTAGCTTCTGAGAAGATCAAACTGGGCTAGGTGGTCAACTGATCTGGTAGAGGGCAACTTCCTACATACCTCGTTGTGTGGGACTAGAATAGGTGTATGGAAGCAGCCTGTGTAATTGGCAGACCATGCTAAGTCTCTGGATTGATGAAACTTGGTATCATATTGCACAAAGATGGCCCAAGGAATTTTGCTGCCTGAGGCAAAAAGTCAAGCTGGTGCCTGCTCCCATTCCATGTACAAAAGCTGAGCAGACTGGCAACTGGACCATGCTTCAATGCTGCTGCTGGGCTTTCCACTACACCTGGTGACATTACACTGCCGTCCTGCATCTGCCACCTGAAGGGGCCATTTCACTCTGTCTAATGATAGGGTTTGCCCTGATGTTGGAAGACTTTCTTTCTATGGACAACATGCCACTATGTTCTGCTTCTTCCCTTCTAGCTCCAGTAAGTGAGCACGGTGAACTCATCCCGGAGAATACCAACTCCAGCTCTAGATATAAGTACAACTACCCAGAACACGGATCCAGATGTGACAGGTTTTGACTCCCTCTCTCCCCGCCTCCCCCTGCCCCGCTGAAAAGAGTCATAGTTAGGTTGGGAGATGCTCCACCCTCTCTGCCTTGCTTTGATCTACATGCAACACACCTTCTAGCCTATCCAATGAGCAGCTTCAGCAATGTTGGATAACATAAACCTGCTCAAAAGACATCTCATAATCTTTTGAGCAAGTGGGAGGTATGAAAATACTTTTTAAAATAATTGCCAGGGAGCTGAGATAGGATCGGAACTGAAGCTTTGCACTTGGTAACAAAAATGAATATAGCTTTGAGGATCTTTTCTCCTCTGCTTTCAAAAGGGTGGGGAATCTATAGGCCTATATTATATTTTATTTTGTACAATGGGTAATGATGACAGTAATTGTAGATTTGTCCTTGGTATCAGGGGTAGCTGTTATCAGAACTAAAAATGGGTAGGCACAGCTAGGTAGGGAGTACCACTTGTCCTGTATAAATACCAATGCTTTTGGAAGGGACTAAGAATGCAAGGGAAATTAGATTCTGTTTGCATTTAAAAGTGAATCCACTTAATTCACACTTTCCAAAACAATATGTGAAAGGAAACACAGTCATCTTTGGAAATTCACACTTCTTGAAATTCTTTGCAAAGCAGTTCTTCAGCCAAGGAATGCATACAAAACTGCATAAACTAGAATAAAGTCTGCATATGAGTACATATACTAATGAAAATAGGTAAAGGTAAAGGTAAAGGTAAGCAAGTATGCCTCAAAATTGCAAGGGGCAGGGGTGCCCCAGCCTTACCTTGGCCTTACCCATTTTCACAAGTATGCAAATATATGCAGACTTTATTCTAGTTTATGCAGTTTGTGAAGAATTACCTCAAGAGTGTGAAGTCTTCAAAGATGACTGTGTTTTCTTCACATTATTGTTTTTGAAGCAGTGGATTCACTTTTGAATGCAAGATTTCTCCCTGCATTCTAGTCTGCCTACCATTTTTTAGCCTCTGATAACAGCTGTTAGTCATGACAAGGCTACTGTCACATTTGCCAGGCTGCACGCCATAGGCCTATAGATTCTTGGAAAGCAGAGTGAGCACTCCTCGTGCTAGCACATTTTTAGCCAGCCAGCTCAGGCCACTTCAGTGGCGCACTTCAGTTCAAAAAAGATTATGAGATGTCTTTTGAGCAGCTTCAGCAATGTTGGATAACATAAACCTGCTCAAAAGACATCTCATAATCTTTTGAGCAAGTGGGAGGTATGAAAATACTTTTTAAAATAATTGCCAGGGAGCTGAGATAGGATCGGAACTGAAGCTTTGCACTTGGTAACAAAAATGAATATAGCTTTGAGGATCTTTTTCTCCTCTGCTTTCAAAAGGGTGGGGAATCTATAGGCCTATATTATATTTTATTTTGTACAATGGGTAATGATGACAGTAATTGTAGATTTGTCCTTGGTATCAGGGGTAGCTGTTATCAGAACTAAAAATGGGTAGGCACAGCTAGGTAGGGAGTACCACTTGTCCTGTATAAATACCAATGCTTTTGGAAGGGACTAAGAATGCAAGGGAAATTAGATTCTGTTTGCATTTAAAAGTGAATCCACTTAATTCACACTTTCCAAAACAATATGTGAAAGGAAACACAGTCATCTTTGGAAATTCACACTTCTTGAAATTCTTTGCAAAGCAGTTCTTCAGCCAAGGAATGCATACAAAACTGCATAAACTAGAATAAAGTCTGCATATGAGTACATATACTAATGAAAATAGGTAAAGGTAAAGGTAAAGGTAAAGGTACCCCTGCCCGTACGGGCCAGACTCTACGGTTGTGCGCTCATCTCACTCTATAGGCCGGGAGCCAGGGCTGTCCGCAGACACTTCCGGGTCACGTGGCCAGTGTGACAAGCTGCATCTGGCGAGCCAGCGCAGCACACGGAACATCGTTTACCTTCCCGCTGGTAAGCGGTCCCTATTTATCTACTTGCACCCGGGGGTGCTTTCGAACTGCTAGGTTGGCAGGCGCTGGGACCGAATGACGGGAGCGCACCCCGCCGCGGGGATTCGAACTGCCAACCATGCGATCAGCAAGTCCTAGGCGCTGAGGTTTTACCCACAGTGCCACCCGCGTCCCCACTAATGAAAATAGCATGCAGAAATACATTAGATATGGGAAAATTGTTCTGCAAAAATGTGTGAAAATTCTGATGAATTTTGCTTAGCACTTAATTTTTTTAATTTTTTTTTTAATCTGCAAATTCTTGCAGAAATATTGAGAACTGGATTTAAGATGGGGAAAATGAGAATCTGAAATTGACTGATTTGCCCATCCCTAGTGATCAGTAACCTTGGCACCGAAAACCCAGATTGCCTTTTTGGAGGGACTGTGTTCTTACCAGCCTGGCAGATGTCAGGTTATGGTCTCTTTGGGAGTATCAGAGACTTGGCATATTTGCCATTTCCTTTCAGTTTGTATCAGGAATGGGGAACCCAGATGATGTCAGACCACATCAGCCCCAGCTAACACGACCAATGGTCAGGGGTTATGGGAGTTGTAATCCACCAACATCTGGAGGATCATAGGCTCCTCATCCCTGGTTAACATGTTCAGCTTTACCTTTGGGGCTCAGATTTGTGTTAGGCAATTTTTAACATTAGGAACCAATATGAAAGAACCACAACAGACAATACAAACATTTGGCTATTACAATAAAAGCAAGAAATTAGCTGAATGTTGTCTGTTACTCCAAAACATCATGTTCTACAAATGTGTTTAGATGTTGATCTTTATACATACCTATATGTTGAGTCAGTTTAGATAAAATGGCTAAATTCCATATTTTATTAGGCAACTCAAATAACTGACAAGTGTGTTCTTTTTCCAGTTGGCTGCTATACAAATCCTAGTTGTGCTGACAAGGTGGGTAACAATTTTCCAGTCATCATCAAGGATTATACTAGGGCTGTGCACTGGCTTTGGCTGAGTTCCATGCCAAGTTGGGCATATTCGGGGGGGGGGGAGGACTCAGACATCAGATGTGTTTTGCACACAACTTTGTACATTGGCAGCACCTACAAAATGCTGGTACCCTTTGGTGGTAGCCTTATCATCCCTGCACCTGATAAGTGTGCAGGTCAGTGTGCCTTGCCCAAAATGACCATAGGGAGCAAAATTGGAGCACTAGCAGGCCTGATGATGTA